AGATGATGACAGAGTGATATGGGGAGAATGGTGCCAAGGAAAAGTATTTCTAAACAACAGCTGGCATAAAAACATCACCAAAGAATTAATAGCACATCTAATGGTTTGAACTATTTTGAGTTATTTATGTATCTTTTCTGATCTGCTGGAATGTGACCAATAAAGGATCACTTAAGTGTTTTCTAATTCATTTACATGTGTTAGTTTTCTGCCCCTGAACAGAATGTCTATACCCCAAAGATAGGCAGTGTTGCCTTCTGGTTCTGGCTTTGCCCAGACAGGTATCTTGTAGAATAGGTACAAAGCATTAGAGTTCAAAGAAGAGGAGGTAAAAGACAGTTGATTGGCTGACAAGGTGTGGCTTCTAGAATGACACAGTAGATCCTTTCCGAGCTGCATGATGTTCAGAGAAACACCCATATAGTCCAGAACCTAAGTTTCAACTCCCCCACATTGCTATCTTGAGATGTCTCTGCAAAGTGAGCATAATTATATGCTCATGCCTCTTGTGTTATATTGATGGTTACATAAGATAAGAAATATAAACGTTGGTGCTCACAAGTATAACCCTCTTGTAGTATTTGACATCCAATCTTTAGAGAAGCAGTGGATGAAAGCCATCAGGAATGCCAGCTCTGGGGTCATACAGCTTAGTTTTGTATCACAGCTCCCCCATTCACAGACTGTGTGTCTTGGTCTGGTTGTGTAACCTCTCTGGACCTCACAATCTCATCTGTCAATTGAGAGTAATGATTGTATATACTTTATAGAGTTATCAGAGATGATTAAGGGAAGTAAAACATGTGAAATACTCTATAGCAGGCCTCCACATAACACAATCAGTATACCTCAGCTTATGTCAATTTATTATCATCAATAATAACATGCATACATCCTGAGACCTTTGCTCAAATTTAGGCTTATCAATTATGAGTACAGATATCATTATCTTTCCCCCTCTCTTCCTGAGATAGGGGAAGGACCATACCAGGTCATTTTAATTCCCAAGCTCTCCGTTGAGATCATAGGGTAGGAACTGAGTTCATATGAACTTACATGTTCAGAAGTCCCTTTCAGGTAGACAAGAAGTTGATGTTTTTTTTCTGTAACACAGCTCTAGATGTGTCATCAAAAATAGGTTTTCCCAGTGTAGTGCTTAGTTTCTCATTGGGAGACTGTCATGGTAACTGGTATGGTACTTGTCAGAGGGATCTACAGAGAAAACAGACCAAATTCTTTACATGTCATGAAAATCAAGACACATGTTAACCTTGGCACCATTTTGAAATAGCTTAGTGATGCCCTGGGCCTCATGCTAGAGGCACCAGGGACCTGTTCACATTTGTCAAGAGTGGGCACTAGAGACCAAAGAATGGATCATGGAACACCTAAGCAAAGGACAACAGCACTAACATGAAGGTGCTCACATCTGCAGATTGGGGCCTCTGCTTCCAACTGTTTCTCACAGCAGGGATTGGGGCCTCACTGCCTGGCTGCTCCCAGTGCTGTTCTTACTTCAGTACCCCAGCTACTGACTGACTGTGAACCCAGCTCATGTTTAGAACTCCCACTTGAGGGACTTTGTATTTTTGTAGCACTCCTCTCATACACCTGTTTATAGTGTTTGCTTAGGGTTTTCTCAAATTCTTTCTGCCCACTGCATTTCAGGGATTTCCTGTATTTTCTCAGGCACAGGGCAGTCTCCCTTTTCTTACTTTTCAGAGCAAATTTGAATCAAAGATAAATCTCTATTCTGTTATATAAGATCTGAGACTTATGCCTGGAGCAGAAGGGTAGAGTCTCCTCTCAGGCTGGATCCCATATCTAGGTGGAATGGAGACAGGAAATACCTGAAAACCATTGCTCAGGTGAATATTTTGCACTTACATCTTGTTGGTATCTCTGATGATCATCACAGGGAGGGCCCAACTGAAGAATTGGATGTTAAGAGAGTGCTGCGATATGTCACTGCATATATACCTGAGAGCAGGGAGAAGGGACTCAGTGAAACAGATTGAGGAGTGACCAAAGAAACAGGAGGAAATCAAGGACAGTCACCTTGCAGGGGAAGTGACAGAGGTCACCTGGACTTTAGAAGTCCACTGATCACTGGGTTCAAATTCTTGAACCTGCTGAGGTAAACCTAAATGGCATCTATGCCTCCCACTTAAAAAATAAAATAGCCTACTTTTAGGGTTATTTAAGGCAACTTTTAGGGTGACATTCTTCCAATAAGTATTTATTGAAGGCCAGCTCTGCTACATCAGCCCACTGTATGTGGGAAGGCTTCAGGGAATTCCTCAATGCAGCCCCACTCTGCATTGTCCAAGGTACATGATGAAGAGGGAAATGTGAGAGTTACATTGGTACAATAAGGCTCTGGACAGTGTGGTGATAACCAACACAAACACCCTCTCGATCAACAGAAAACTTAGCTAAGAGATTTGCTCTACCCGCTCATTTATGATATTTGTTTCCAATAAACAAATTGACAGTATAACAAGAGCTACACTGCTCTGAGTGTGTACCTCATGTCATCACTACTCACATGATAAACATGTTCTGAACACCTGCAGGGCACCAGGCTCCAGAACCTGTGCTTTGGTAGACTGTGCACACAGGAATATTTCAGGCAGGATAACAGTCCTCAAACAGCTCAGAGTCTAGTGGGCAGGGAGCTGTACTGAAGACAATGACCAAACAAGTGTCATGAGACCATGGCAGGCATAAGCCAGGGGATCCTCCAAACATAGCAGAGAAATCCCTCAACCCCAGGTCTTCAGGAATGGCTTCTCCTGGGGTTGGTATAATATAATATTATCATCCTCATTTGCAGATGAGGTAACTGAAGATCAGAGAGGATAAGCAATCCACTGAAGTGGTGGAACCCGTTTTCAACAAATGCCTACTGAAATGCAAAGTCCTTTACACTGTGCATTTTACCAATGTCCCCACAATGACATGGTCACCTGTTTTATTCACATTCACCGTCTGTACTTCCTCCTTATCCTGCTTTACCTGTTACGTTCTTAGAACCTGCTAAGTATAATAAAAACATCTTTTGGTTCTCTCAGAATTTGATTTGTTTGCACAGTGGATTGTTACATCTTGGCACAACCTAAAACTGAACATTAAGCTTTCATTTGTATTCCATCCACAGGGTGGGTTAATGAAAATGGATCACTGCTGTCAAAGTGTTAACTGGCCTGTTACACTAAGTATAAAATACAACTTAAAAACTCTATCTGCATGCAATTATCAACTGGAAAACCACTGCTCCTGTCTAAAGCCATTCATGACATCCTACAATAGTGGATTTTATCAAATGTTGGGAGCTCCCATGCAGGAGATAATGTCTCTTTGATTTTCTAAATTCATGTACACCAGTTATTGGGCGTTGCTAAAAATGCTTGCTCATTACAACATGGAAATTCTTTCTTATTTTCTCTTTCTCTGCCACTAATAACTCTGGGCAACTGATTCAGGCAAAAACATGAACACTTGATTATTTTGACATTTTAGTCATATGACCACATATCTAATACTGTGAAAATCTAATGCCCATGGTCTGCTCCACTCCAGCAAACTGGTTATTCAATTTAAATAAGTATAAAGAAATGTGAGGAACAAAATATATAATGAAAAACATGTCTAATGATACTTTATATATTTAAGTGAGGTTTTTCAATTACATCAATATGGAAAATGTAGGTTTCCATATTGAATTAATTTTACATCACTGCCTGACCAATTGATCACATACTTCATGGCTTCAAACAACACTAAGTTCCTATCTCACAGTTTTTGTGTGTCAAAAGTCTAGGTGGGGTTGTCTGGGTCCTCTGCTTAGAGTTTTACAAAGCCAGAATCAAGATGTCCACAGAACTGTGCTCCTTACTGGAGGCTCTGAGAAAGAACCTGCTTCCAAGCTCATTCAGATTAGTGCATATCGGTTCCTTGCAGCTACAGAATTGAGGTCCCCATTTCCTTGCTGGATATCTGCTGAGGGCTGGTTTTTGATCCTAGGGGCCTGCATTCCTTCTCACGCTTTTCATGTGGCTTTTTCTAGCAACAGTGGGTCAAGTTCCTCTGTGACACTGTGACTCTCTCTGCCTTCCCCTTCTGCTGCATTTCTTTGACTTTTCTGGCTTCCTTCTGCTTCTAAGAGCTCATGTTATTACATTGAGCCCACTCAGATAATCCAAGATAATCTATTTTAAGGTCAACTGAATTACAGCTGCAAAGTACCTTCACAGCAGTACCTACATATGTGTTTGATTGAATAGCCAGGGGAAGGGAATTTGGGGGAATATCTTTAGAATTCTTCCTACCACACATATATTATTTATTTACTGAAATTAATTTTTATCTATTTTGAGGGATAGTGGTGAATTTTATGGCACTGTGCCAAGGAATAATCTCTGATACTGATTCAAACTCAGTTCCTGGCTGCCATAGAAAGTGTAAAGATCCTGTTTCTACAACGAGAACAATAAAAAATCTTCCACACATAGAGTTTTAAATGAGAAATATGAGGTTGGAGACAGAATATCTGAGGGCTACAATTGTTCACTTAGAAAGCCTCACTTATGGTTAGCAATAAAGATTACATTCACATACGGTATTATGAAAACACTAACTCCCACCTGGTCTTTTTAGGAGATTCTCCCTCTTCTCTCTCTCTGGATCACCTTCACGATGTTTCAATGTCAAGTGGTGCCTCAGATCTTCTGGCCACAAAACGAAGTGTTGCCCGTGGAGAAAATAAAAGATAGCTCAGAACCAAAGTCCTCCTGAGATCTTAGAGAAGCTTCTTTCTTGAGCAGCCAATCCGCAGGAATTAGTGATGTGATGTGGCAAGTGATTCTTGAGAAAAAGCAGGACTCTCTGAAGGACTGGAGGTTTCCTTACAGGGGTAGTACAAAACAAGGTTCTAAGTTTCCTCCCTTTGGTCTGGGGTGACTAGAGGACTGTTCAGGGGCTTGATGGTGATCAGCTTCTTGATGTTACAAGCTGGTTAGGATTTTTTTCTTTTCATGTGAAATAAAGCACTAATCTGATTGAGACCCCTGAAACTAACACCCCATCCCCTACCTCTAGCTGGATGGTGGCACCACTGAAGGGGCCCTCCCCCAGGTTTTAGTTGTTTACTGGGACAAGTGACACCTGATGACAAAAGAAGAGTTTCCAAGGCACTGGAGATGATGTAACAGTGGAGTGACTCTGGTGGTGGGGTTGGGGCTGTGGGGGAGAAGAGGGTGGGTCCAGGCAAGAGGAGGTGATAAGTAGGGTTTAAAGGAGGCAGATATCTCCATGTGATTGACTGATGTTATTTCTTTTAGTGTACACATCAAAGAATACAATTTGTATTCATTTATTTACATCTGTTTCTAATGAGAATACATACACATGTTGGAAAACAGCACCAACCCTGCCCCTTCACCCAATGCCCTCATCACAAACCAAGGACAGACTTAGGACCCCAGTGATCTGTCATCCTTTCCCTCTACAATGATTATGGCTTACCCAGGCACAGTGCAAATGCCTCCTTATGGGCCAGTGCTGGGCTATGTGTCTTTCACCTAAGGGAGAACAGGAGGACTAGAATTAGGTCTCAGGCCTCACCCTGCTGCAACACCCCGCTGGTGGGTCACCAGCTACAACAGCTCTGGGCTATAATCAGAAAATAACGATCCATCCTTCAGAATCCATCCCACAATCCATCCTTCAGAAAATAACGATGTCTTATCTGGTCAAGGAGGAGTGGAGGGGGGTGGTATGGATCTATAACTGATGTTATGTCCCAAGCAAATGAGGAGAAATTCAAATTGCTGTTAATGTAAAAAGCCAGGTCATTTTAAGAAAAATTGCATAAAACAAATGGGATTTAGAAAAAGAAAAGAAGCAGAAGCAAGCATAGGGCTGCTCTGAGATTTATAAGAGACCATTTCCACTTATTCTTACCAATACTTTAGGAAAAATTGAAATTAGCATAAAAGGGGAAACTGCCAAGGTCCATATAGATACTGGGGTTACTTTATCTATTCTTAATCCTACCCAATTAAATCACCCTCTCCCTTGGAGTAAATATTCTGTACAAATTGTAGGGGTATCTAACCAACCAATGTCTGTTTTTAAGTCAGAACCTATCGTTCCCTTCCAGCTGGGGGATATGTTATGGAGCAACATGTATTTTTACTAGTCAAATCTGCCCCAATTCACCTGATAGAATGAGATTTTCTTGAAATATATTTAAAACTAAATGAGTCAGGCATTGCAACAATTGAAAAAATAATGATTTTTAAAGGAACCTCAACAAGAGGAAACTAGTCTTGAGACTGAATGTTTGCTACAAAATGTTCCTATGAAATTCTGAGCTCTTTCCAGTATGGATATTGGCAAAATTAAGTCAGCCACTCCAGTTAAAATAACTGTTGACAATACTTTGCCTCTACCTCATATTTTTCAGTATCCTTTAAGACTTCATGCACTGGCCAAAATAAAACCCATTATACAAGATTACTTAAAGAGAGGGCTTATCATTCCATGCATGAGCCCCTGTAATACTCTAATCCTTCCAGTAAAGAAACCCAATGGGAAAGGATGGAGATTTGTACAGGATCTCAGAGCTATAAACAAAATAGTTATTCCCAGACATCCTGTGGATCCAAATCCACATACTCTCTTATCTGTCATTCCTATATACTGCCAATAGTTTCTAGTAATAGATTTATGTAGTATGTTTTTTCAGCATTTTTATAGAAAAGGGTAGTCAATATCTTTTTGCCTTCACCTGGGAAGGTCACCAATTCCCTTGGACCACAATTCTCCAGGGTTATAGAGAGTCCTACATATTTCTCTTAAATACTAAAGGCTGATTTAAATGATGTTGAAATTCCCAGAGATTCTACTCTGACCCAATATGTGGATGATTTGCTTTTATTCTCCAGGGCATTATTAGACTCCCCAAAGGACACAATTTATCTATTACAACAGCTAGCCATTAAGGAGCATAAAGTCTCAAAAGACAAG